TTTTATTGTAATTAAGTTGGAGCTGATCTGTGTTGCAATGTTGTATTAATGCTCTCAGAGCTCTTTTGAGCCCAATGGATGTTCTAGAGAGTACAGCAGCATCATCTGCATAAAGCAGGATGGAGATGTGTCTTCCCACCAGCTTTGGGGGGGTGGAAGTCCATATTTTGAAGCTGGTCCACTATGGAGTTTATATAAAAGTTGAACAGCAAAGGGGCCAGGACGCAGCCTTGCTTGATACCCTTTCCTGTTTCAACAGCCTCAGTGAGGTGGCCCTGTGGGTTGCATCTTACTTTGAGTGTGGTCTTTTCGTGAAGTTGGCGTATTCAGTCAGGGGAGTTAGTGGGAAGTCTGAATAGCTGTCAAAACTGTATAAGATGCCTTGTATTTCTCTTCATGTTTATGCTTGCACATTTTAAAGCAAAATTGCTTGCTTGCATCTTTTTTTTTTTTTTGCCAAACTGTAATAAACCTCTGTGAGATGCCTTCAACCTAGTGAGTTAGTTTCTCTGACTGGCCTATCTGGTTTAGGATACATTTACCAGGCATGGGTCCTCTTATCTGTGGTCCTAGTTATACACTACAGAATGAATGCAGTTTGATACCACTTTAACAGACATGGCTCAATGCAATGGAATCCTTCAGCTTGTTGTTTGGTGAGAATTTTGGCAGAGAAGGCTAAAGACCTTGTTACACTACAATTCCCAGGATTCTATAGCATTGTACCATGGCAGTTAAAGTGTGATGAAATTTGTCCATTCTACAGTGGTAGACGAACCCCAGGATCCCTTTTAAGAAACTTTTCAACTTGGGGGGTAAACCTCTGAAATCTACAGACTGGATATTGTACAAGACTTACATGAAATCTCAACGTAGCTCACAAAGACTCTCAACCTCAGACTGAAGATGGATAAATTAGAGAAAAATAGGTTCCAGAGTAACGAAGATACACAGAGAGAAGTGACTAACAATACATAATAGCATTGTGATAGAGATGGAAGACCACAATACAGGGAAGATGATGGTGGAAGTCAACACATTATTCTTGTATATAATAATTTTCTTTCCCCCTTTATTTTATTGTACTTCTCTTTTCTCTTCTGCCTCTTCTTCTTTCCTTTTCAGCTTCTGCTCCCCGTCCTACTTTCCCTTGACCATCCCCCCTCATTTTACACCCCCTTCTATTTTTTCTTTCCTTCTCCCTCTCTCCTCCTCTTCCTTTTCTTTTTTGCTTTTCCTCTATCTTCTTCTTTTGCCCTCTTTTTCCCCCTTTTAAGAAAAATTTCAATAAAGATATTTAAAAAAGAAACGCCCCAACTCTGAATTAGACATTGTTTTGAAGGCTGACACACAAGAGCAAGATGGATACATCTCACCATTTTAAAATGATAGATATGTATCTATTTATTATTTACTCTATTTGTACCCCACCTATCTGTATCCCAAAGGGGACTTGAGGCGGATTTACATATGGTGAGTATTCAATGCCTTTGGACAACAAATAGTTAGAAGACACTTAACTTAAAATTAAAAATAAATGCACATTAAAATATATAAAACATTGCAATCACTATTAAAATGTATATCAAATCATGTCAGTTTTGTGAGAAATTATATCTCTAAAACAAATAAATACAAAACACAGCTTGTCTGGTCAACGGGGAAAATGGGATGAAAGATGAGGCATGCCATGCATAAGAGCTGATGAAGCTGTTCTTACAGAATGAGACACTGGTGGGGTGAGGATAATGAATCTGCAATGGGATTAAAGCACATCACAGTTGATAGTGTTATTGAGAAATTTGCACCCCTCTTCTAAGAATAACTATTTTATAACATATCATCTGCAGCCCAACCCCAAACATTCCTGGGAGGATTAATCTGATCAACTCTCTTTTTGTGATTCTGAGGAAACCGCTGGAATCCATATTAAGCCATGACTCCCAACACCTCAAGACTGACCTTTCCCTCACCTCCTGAGCTGCACCTTCTCAGCTTCGAGACAAATAAAAATAGAGAGATAAAATTAACCCTGTTGCCCCAAGGGGAAAAAAAACCACACACACGAAGTCATAAATTTCTTTAATTAACAAAACAGACCCAACTCTTTTCCACTGGGTGTCTCTTTCCTTTTTTCCTAACTTCTTCACTATTACAAAATTTTAGATAATCAAACTGCTTGCTCCAATATACTGCCATTCTGCAATGGACCAGCAACCCAAGAATATCAAATATCGCAACTTATATTATATAGTGCTTGTATGATTTTGGACAATGGGCTGTCTTGAAAAACAACACAGATTCTTCCACTTGATTGACTTTCTGGTTTCCCAAATCTCACTCCTTTTGCTTATTAGCAATCTTAGTCTCTGCCTCTTCCTTTGTCTAAGGCTGGATCTGCACTGAATCTGCATTATATGGTCAGTGTAGATCCACCCATGTTTTGTTTCTAAGAGAGTGGGCTACACAGGAAGTTGAACGGGATTTAAAGGACAGCTCCAAAGGAAACTCAGGCAGAAGAAATTAATCAGCTGGGTTGCATAAAAAGTTCAATGTTAGAATTTGTGTGTGGATTCTCCCCCCTTTTTTCTTGCACGAAAGATTCCACTTAAGTATTTAAGTAGTGTCATTATATCTCTGTAGTGTAACTACACTGCAGACATATACAGGGAACCATCACCTCAGCAGTATCTAAATAAAGATTGTTTTGTTGCAGGTGTGAGAAAGGAGGAATGACAAAATTATTAATCAAAACAACAACAACAACAACAACAACAACAACAACATTTTTTGCCCTTCATCGGCCAATTTTACATAATCACCATCAATTAAGTGTGGATACACTGCAGAGATATACAGGGAACCATGGCTTCAGCAGTATGTAAAGAAAGATTGTTTTGTTGCAGGTGTCAGAAAGGATGGATGGCAACATTATTATTGAGTTGCTGTGAGTTTTCCTGGCTGTATGGACATGTCCCAGAAGCATTCTCTCCTGACATTTCGCCCACATCGATGGCAGGCATCCTCAGAGGTTGTGGTGAAATGTCAGGAGAGAATGCTTCAGGAACATGGTCATACAGCCTGGAAAACTCACAGCAAGCCAGTGATTCCAGCCATGAAAGCCTTCAACAACACATTGAACATTATTATTATTGGTACTTATTATTGTTTATTCCTGGAGTCCATACTTCAGGAATTAAGCTCAACTGCTCATTGGAAGGAAGGATATTAGAGGCAAAGATGAAATATGTTGGCCACATAATGAGAAGACAGGAAAGCTCGGAGAAGACAATGATGCTGGGTAAAAAGGAGGGAAAAAGGAAGAGGGGCCGAGCAAGGGCAAGGTGGATGGATGGTATCCTTGAAGTGGATACCATCCATCCACCTTAGGATACACATCCAACCTTAGGATACACAGTTTCAAGAGTAAAAATCCAAAAGGCTTCACGTTGTAGTAGTCTTGTAGATAAATCTAAATTTATGGAGGATGTAACCACCTCTAGAGCTAGGACCCTAAGTGATTCAGGACTATGTTCTTGTGGGTTTTTTCGGGCTATAGAGCCATGTTCTAGAGGCATTTCTCCTGACGTTTCGCCTGCATCTATGGCAAGCATCCTCAGAGGTTGAGAAGGTCTGTTGGAAGTAGGAAAAATGGGTTTATATATCTGTGTAATGGCTGGGGTGGGGCAAGGAGCTCTTCCCTGCTGCCAGGGAAGAGCTCCTTGCCCCACCCCAGCCATTACACAGATATATAAACCCATTTTTCCTACTTCCAACAGACCTTCTCAACCTCTGAGGATGCTTGCCATAGATGCAGGCGAAACGTCAGGAGAAATGCCTCTAGAACATGGCTCTATAGCCCGAAAAAACCCACAAGAACCTAGTGATTCCAGCCATGAAAGCCTTCGACAATAGATTCAGGACTATGTTTCATGTCATAGAAATGTTTATATAGGCTTGAATCAACAGCCTGTTTTCTAATTTTGCTCTTGTATTCGATTACACGGAGTTTAATTTGTCTGCTGGTTTGCCCAACATACATCAAGGAGCAGGGACAAAAGATAACATTAATGACACCCGTAGTTGTACATGTGGCAAAATGACGCAATTGAAAAATATGTTTAGTTTGAACATTTTGAAAAACCTTGGTTTGAATACCCAATTTAGTAGGAAATTTTCCTTGTCATCATTGTGCCATATGTCCACAATTTATTCAAAACAGCTGTACAAACTGCTGTAAGAATTGTTGTGTAATATATATTGTACTAGGCGCCAATACATTGAATGTTGTAATACTCAAGCAAAGATATAATATATAGAATCATAGAATCAAAGAGTTGGAAGAGACCTCATGGGCATCCAGTCCAACCCCCTGCCAAGAAGCAGGAATAATGTTCAAAGCACCCCCGGCAGATGACCATCCAGCCTCTGTTTAAAAGCCAAAGAAGGAGCCTCACCACACTCCAGGGCAGAGAGTTCCACTGCTGAACAGCTCTCACAGTCAGTCTTCCTAATGTTCAGGTGGAATCTCCTTTCCTGTAGTTTGAAGCCATTGGTCCATTGCATCCTTACGAGAAAGGAGATTCCATCTGAACATGAGGAAGATCTTCCTGACTGTGAGAGCTGTTCAGCAGTGGAACTCTCTGCCCTGGAGTGTGGTGGAGGCTCCTTCTTCGGAGGCTTTTAGACAGAGGCTGGATGGCCATCTTTCAGGGGCAATTTGAATGCAATTTTCTTTCTTCTTGGCAGAATGGGGTTGGACTGGATGGCCCATGAGGTTTCCAACTCTAGGAGTCTATGGTTCTAACACTGTATATACAACGTCCTGCTCTAATGGTGTCTTGCTTTGGGGGGTGACTTTTGGGGGAATCTATTTCCAAGCCGTGGATGTTGGGATCCGTGGGGGCAGAGACTGTGGATGGAGGGAAGGAAGCCCTCCTTCTTTCCCTCCCTCCCCCCCCTCCCTCTCTCTTTCCCTCCTCCTGCCTGGCTTTGGGAGGAAGGAAGGAAGGAAGGAAGGAAGGAGAGACCCAGGGCGCATTGTGGGGATCCCCCGACCCATCGGCTCCTCCTCCTCCCGCTCTTCCCTCTCTTCTCCTCCTTCCTCCCCCTCCTCTTCCTCGCCGGCGCCGTTTTCAAGGAAGGAAGGGAGGAAGGCAGAGAGAGAGAGTGAAGAGGAGAGGAAGAAGGCGCTTGGATGGGGGGCCCGGGCCAGTGCTGGAGGAGGAGAAGGAAAGGGAGATGAGGCTGCCGGTCTCCTCCTCTTCATCCTCTTCTCCTCCCTCTCCCTCCTCTTCCTCCTCCTCCTCGGTGGGGAGCCGAAGGCGGCGGATGGCGGCGGCGGCCTCGGCGGGCTGCGGCTTCTTGCTCTGCTGCAGAGGGCCCCGCACTCGCTTGCCGGTGGGCGCCGGCGCCTTGGGCTTCTTCTTTGTCCTCTGCTGGCTCTACGTCTTCCCCGTCTACCGCCTGCCCGGAGAGAAGGAGATCGTGCGCGGAGTCAAGCTCCAGCAGAAGGGCCGAGCCTGGCGGAGGGACCCCCACGCCGCCATCGCCTTCAGGTCAGGCCCCCAGCCCCCCCCCCCCCCAAGGCACCTCCGGCCCCTTCCCCATCCCCCCTTTCAGGTCTCTCCTCTCCCCTCTCTTCTACTTTAACCTCTCCTATCCTCCCCCATTCCTTTCCTTCCGGTCTTTTCCTCTCCCCTTTCTCCCGCTTCTCCTTTTACCTCTGCTTCCTTCCTTCCTTCCTTCCTTCCTTCCTTCCTTCCTTCCTTCCTTCCTTCCTTCCTTCCTTCCTTCCTTCCTTCTCCCCTCTTTCTTCTTCTTTTACCCCTCAGAAGTTTTCCTCTCCCCTTTCTCCCGCTTCTCCTTTTACCTCTGCTTTCCTCCCTCCTTCCTTCCTTCCTTTCCTCTCCTATTTCTCCAGCTTCTCGTTTAACCTCTGTTTTCCTTCTTCCTTCCTTCCTTTCTTCCTTTCCTCTCCTATTTCTCTGCTGCTCTCTCTTTTTCTTCCTTCCTTCCTTCCTTCCTTCCTTCCTTCCTTCCTTCCTTCCTTCCTTCCTTCCTTTCCTCTCTTCTTCCTTCCTTCCTAATCTCTGCTTCCTTCCTTCCTTCTTTCTTTGCTTTTCCTTTAACCTCTGCTTGCTTCCTTCCTTCCTTCTTTCTTCTCCCCCTTTCTTCTTCTTTTACCCCTCAGGTCTTTTCCTCTTCCATTTCTCCAGCTTCTCCTTTAACCTCTGTTTTCTTTCTTTCTTCTCCCCTCTTTCTCTTTCTTCTTTTTTTTCCCCTCTTCTCTTCTTCTTTTACCCCTCTGATTTTTTTCCCTCCCTCCCTCTCTCCTCCTCCTTCCTTCCTTCCTTCCTTCCTTCCTTCCTTCCTTTCTTTCCGTCCTTTCTTCTTCTTTTCCTCTCTCATTTGTCCAGCTTCTCCTTTAACCTCTGCTTCCTTCCTTCCTTCCCCCCTCTTTCTTCTTCTTTTACCCCTCAGATTTTTTCCTCTCCCATTTCTCCAGCTTCTTGTTTAACCTCTGTTTTTCTTTCTTCCTTCCTTCCTTCCTTCCTTCCTTCCTTCTCTTTCCTTTCCCTCCTTTCTTCTTCTTTTCCTCTCCCATTTCTCCGGCTTCTCCTTTAACCTCTGTTTTTCTTCCTTCCTTCCTTCGTCTTTCTTCTCCCCCTTTCTTCTTCTTTTACCCCTCAGGTCTTTTCCTCTTCCTTTTCTCTGGCTTCTCCTTTAACCTCTGCTTCCTTCCTTCCTTTCTTCTTTCTTTCTTTCTTCTCCCCCTTTCTTCTTCTTTGCCCCTTTCTTTCTTCAGGTCCTTTCCTCTTCCATTTCTCCAGCTTCTCCTTTAACCTCTGTTTTCTTTCTTTCTTTCTTTCTTTCTTTCTTTCTTTCTTTCTTCTCCCCTCTTTCTTCTTCTTTTACCCCTCTGATTTTTTTCCTCTTCCATTTCTCCGGCTTCTCCTTTAACCTCTGTCTTCCTTCCTTCCTTCATTTCCCTCCTTTCTTCTTCTTTCTCTCTCCCATTTCTCCAGCTCCTTCTTTAATCTCTCCTTCCTTCCTTCCTTCCTTCTCTCAATTTCTTCTTTCACCCCATTTCTCTTTCTTGCCTAACCCCATTTCTTTCCTCTTTGCCTCCTCCTCCATTTCTTACTCTTTCCTCCTATCTCTCATACCCATTACTTTTTAAATTTTCTCTCCTTTTCTCCCCTTCTCATTTTCCTGCATCTCTCCATTCCTTCTGTTTTTCCCCTTTTCCTCTGCCCCATTTCTTCTCCTCCTCCCCATTTCTCTCATTCCTTTTCACCCATTTTTCCTTCCCTTCTCCCCATCTCTCTCTACTTTTCACCTTTCTTCTTCTAACCTATCTATCTTTCTTTTCTTCCCCCTTGCTCTTCCAACCTCTCCTTTCTTCTTTTTCCCTTCATCTCCTTTTCTCCTTCCTTCCTTCTCTCCATCCTCCACTTCTCCTTTCCTCCTCATGTCTTTTCCTCTCCCACTTCTCCCTTTTCTTCTTTTAACTGATTTATCTTTCTTTCCTTTCTTCCCCCTTTTCCTCTTCCCCTTTCTCTTCCAACCTTCCCTTTCTCCTTTTCTCCTTCCCCCACTTCTCCTTTCCCCATCATGTCTTTTCCTCTCCCATTTCTTTCTTCTCCCCCTCTCCCTTTCTACTTCTTTCATCCCAGTTTTTCTTCTCCCATTTCTTTCTTTTTCTTCCCATTTCTCTTTCTTTCCATGTCTCCCATTCCTCCTCTCCCGCATTTATCCTCTCCCCAGTTTTCTTTTTTCTCCTTCTTTTTTCTTCCTGCTCCCTTTCCTTTACCCCATTTCTTCTCCTCTCCAATTTGTCTTATTCCTTTGTACCAATTTCTCTTTACCCTCTCCCGCATCTCTCTCTACTTCTTCCTTTCTTCTTCTTCCCACCTCTTTCTCCCCTTTTACCCTTTCTCCTTTCTCCCTCCCCATCTCTCCCACTTCTCTCTTTCTTCTTCTTCCTACCTCTTTCTCCTCTTTCCCCCTTTCTCTTCCAACCCCTTCTTCTCCTTTGTGTTCTCTCCCCTCCTTCTCTCCTTATTCTGCCTCCCTTTCTGCTCTTTCCCCTTTCTCTTCCAACCACCCTTTTCTCTTTCCCTTTCCCTCCTTTTCTCTTTATTCTGCCTCCCTTTCTGCTCTTTCCCCCTTTCTCTTCCAACCCCCTCTTTCTTCTTCTCTTTCTCTTTCCCTCCTTCTCTCTTTATTCTGCCTCCCTTTCTCCTCTTTCCCCCTTTCTCTTCCAACCCCTCTTTCTCCTTCTTGTTCTCTTTCCCTTCATCTCTCCTTATTCTGCCTCCCTTTCTCCTCTTTCCATCTTTCTCTTCCAACCTCCCTTTTTCCTTCTTGTTCTCTTTCCCTTCATCTCTCCTAATTCTGTCTCCCTTTCTCCTCTTCTCTCCTTTCTCTTCCAACCATCCCCTTTCTCTTTCCTTTCTCTCTCCTTCTCTCCTTATTCTGTCTCCCTTTCTCTTTTCCTCCTTTCTCTTCCAACCATCCCCTTTCTCTTTCCTTCCTTCTCTCCTTATTCTGTCTCCCTTTCTCTTTTCCCCCTTTCTCTTCCAACCTCCTTTTCTTTTTCTTGTTCTCTTTCCCTTCTTCTCTCCTAATTCTCTCCCCCTTTCTCCCCCCCCCCACCTTTCCCTGACTTCTCCCCCTTCTTCTCCTGCACTTCTGGATTCATTTCTGGATCCTCCACATGCTCAGGCTGCGCTATTTGGGGGGGGGGGGGAGAAGCAGCCAAGGACACGCTAGGATTCACACTCCCACATAACACAAAGAGTCGCACACAGCAGCAGCAGTTCTGGACACCACTGCAGTGAAAAGTCAAACAAAACATCAAGGATAAGCAGCTTCTAGGAAGCCGGACTTTCTCCATGAGTGCCAAAGACAAAGCCGGGGAGCCCAGTGTTATTGTCTGCAGTCGAGGACCAGGACATTATACAGCAAATCACAGAAGAAGAGAGGAGGGGGGGATATATAAACAGAAGCACTGGATCTGACAAAGAAATGGAGTCACAGGTGCACAAGACAGGGATTGGAATGGTCCTCACAAGAAAGAAAGCTAGGCCGTCACAAACGCGAAGCAGCCAAATGGGCCGACATGGTACTCCATGCACACCTTAGTCATCCACCCCTCTGTATGCGTTTTCTTGTGACCAAATCATGCTTCTGCTCCCCTGCATGCGGCCTCTGTGTGTTTATGTCTATCTTCTTTGTCTTTTCAAACCTGGTTTTGCATAGGATGCTTTCCCTCCCCAGGCCTTTCTCTCTCTCGGCTTCATCTTTTGGTTTTGAGTAACATATTGAGAGGCCTGCATTCCCTAAAGATCTTGTAAGCGAAACAGGGTCATCTTTGGTTAGATTTTGAATTGCAGACGGCCAATGAAGGTGCTGTAGGCTATGTTTCAGAGGAATCATATTCCTTGCCTTCCTTGCCTATGAAATTCATGGGGTTGCCATAAGTTGACAGGTGAATTAAAGGCACGTACACACACAACATTTTGGGTGGAGAGAAAGTCTCCAAGGCTTTCCATCCATTGCCTTTTTGTTTGTGGACCATTGTGAATGATGGCCTGAACCAGCAACACAGCATTGACTTTGGGAGGGGTTTATTTGTTTCTCTCTTTTGCATCCACTTTGGCTCTTTTCCCACCTGCAAAGTTCTTTCTCAAGCTTTCAAGGGATTCCCAAATGAAGCAGGCCCCCTCAAAGTGTTGTGCTACTGCTTTTACTTCTTTTAACCATCCCTGTGGACACATCTCCTCTTCTTATTAAGAATACAAATATAAATATAATACACTAGCTGTTCCCTGCCAGGCGTTGCTGTGGCCCAGTCTGTTGATCTGGAAAATAAAGTAATGAGAAAGTGTTGGTTTCTAATATATGTAGTTTCTTTATGCTTGTGAGTAAAAGGTATTTCTTTTTGCTTCTTTGTCAGTGTTGATGTAGAGATTATCTAGTTTGCCTACTCTGGAACATATAATTGTCCTCGTTTAGGGGTCCCTTTCAAATCTATGATACTATATCTGTCATATGCACATACCGTATATTCCGGCATATAAGACGACTGGGGGTATAAGACGACTCCCAACTTTTCCAGTTAAAATATAGAGTTAAGACGACAGCCATGCATAAGACTACACCCGCATATAAGACGACCCCTGACTTTTGAGAAGATTTTCTTGGGTTAAAAAGTAGTCTTATACGCCAGAATATACTGTATATATGAGTATATGTGTAAATCATATCTATCTATCTATCTATCTATCTATCTATCTATCTATCTATCTATCTATCTATCTATCTATCTATCTATCTATAGCTGTGGCCGGATGGCTCTTTGCCAGGAGAGCTTTGATTATGTTTCCTTGCTCTGGTGAAAGGAGTTGGACTGGATTTCGACAGCATTTCTCAACCTGGTGGTCGGCACCCCTGTGGAGTCATGAGGGGGTGTCGGAAGGGTCGCCAAAGACCGCCAGAATACACAGAATTTTCTGTTGTTCATGGGGATTCTGTGTGGGAAGTTTGGCCC